TAATTGCTCTGCTGGGCTGTGGCATCGGTGGCTGCTGCTGCCGCTGCTGCTTGTTCCTGTCGCTGGCGCTGCTTATCGCGCTCCTTTTCCAGCGCAGCCATCGGCTCGCGTACCGGTGGCTGCTTCCTTTTCCGTAACGCCATGCCACTGCCCTCGCCGTTGCTGTTCCCCTCATCTTCGACGTAGCCGCGCCAGTAGTTGCTGCTCTGCTGGTCCTCCTCCTCGTTGGCGCCCATAGTGCCCAGCGGCAGCGGTGGGCGTCGCTTGCGCTTGCGTGCGCCAATAAAGCCGCTGCCATGGCGACGAATCTGTGGACCTGTTTCCCCAAACTGTGAATCCTTGCCATCGTCTACGACAAGCGATACGCCAGTCTTGAGCAGCTGTAGAGAAACAGCAAGAGGATAAAGAAAAGAGAATCAATTACCAGATTGAACAGTGGATAGAAAAAAGAAAAGAAATTCTATGTTTTTTGAAAAACATATTCGAGTAAACGTTTTACTACCTGAAAATCTCAGCATTTAGTGGCTCTGCCATTGACCTGTTTTAAAAGGCTTTAAAAACAGTGTCTTAATTATTCTTCGAATCGATTTTAATGTGAAATGAAATTCATATCCCTTTTGGCGTTTCGTGGTTGTTTTTTATTTGATCTTTTTCGTTCCCGTTCGAGAAATTTTCGGTGTAACTGGATGTACTATACACGTAGTCTCGGACCGACTTGGACAACTAAAAGTGTATAAGCATATAGTTCTGACGGACGAAAAGGATAATTTAAGAAATGATCTCAGCGAATGTGAAAGCACTTTATTGCCGTTTTTGAAAAGCAAAAAAAAAATCCTAGTATAAGTGTGCATTCGAAAAAATATATACACATGGGTAGATTGCCACTCCAGTCTGCCAAGTATATATTTTCCGATATTGTTTAATCTCTTAGTGCCAAATTGGAATCTTTTGCCGACACGTTAGCCGGAAACGAAATGCGATTCTCTTTGGTATGTAAAATATAATGTTATGGCCTAAATCTGCATAAATTGGATTATTATAATAATAAAATAATATAATGCTAAAATATAAAAAAATGCAATTCTGTTTAATTCTCTGATTTCAATCACAACTTTTTCCACACTTTAAAGGCCATATGGATCTGAAACTATTTGATAAGCTCTCATGTACTTATTTAAATCTAAAACCGTCGCCTAACTTTTTTGGGAGGAGAGCTTCTTGTTGATTTGTTGCCTTGCTTACTTGTCTTTTCCGCCTTCCTGGACGCCTGCAGTTGTCAGATCTTTTCTGTAATCCCTCTGCACCTTCCCCCTGCTTTCGCATTGCATTGTCATCCACTCCACTACCTTGGCCAAGCGTTCTTAACGTAATGAGTTTTTGGCCAAGAGTTTGTCGTAAAATTGTTTCTTTTGTGCTGTTTTGTATTGTCGTGTTGTTGGCCAAAAAGTTTTTGGTCAACAATTTAGTTTTGTCATTAGCGAAATTATTGTTTTGTGCTGCTGTTGGTTTGCAAGGCAAGGCAAGGGCTCGGGCTCTGGCTCGGGCCAGGGCTAATTATTTACGCAGAAACAAATTTGAAAGTGTGTACAGGTTTCCACAGCTAATTTACTGCATTTGCTCGTTATTCCTCGCCTATGGCCAAAAACCGACAATGTGAATGCTTAGTTCAAATAATATAATACATATACTTGTAAATATATATACTCGTATATATGTCTGCAAGATTAATGTGCGTTGAAAGGAAGGCGAAAGAAGAACAATGCAGACCAAAAACTTTGTCTCCTGCATAAGTTGTTGGGAATGAAAGGAAACGGCAGCTTTTAATTATAAACGCCCAGCGACTTTATGCAGCAAAGTGCATTGAATTGGTTGCTCTCCTTATGTAAGCACTCCAATGGCTATGAGACCGCATTCCCCACTCTGCCTCTCCCATCACACATTTCACATTTCAGATTTCAGAGCTCACATCCCACATCCCACATCCCATATTTCACATTTCATTTATGGACTTGCTGATGAACTTACCGCAGACTCTCGGGCCGAGCAATGAACACAAAGGCTAAATGCATATGATTATTTGCATTAGTCTGATTACGATGTGAAGGGAAGCAAAAAACCTAGAAGCCTTCAATATTGTGGTTTCTGTCTACAGGGATGGGTAGCGGACTGGCAGACTGGCGGCCTGGTTGGCTAACTGCCTCGTTGGCCTGGCCTGGTCTGGTCTGGTCTGCTGTCTGGCTGCCAGCAATTTTATTATAACCGTATGGCAACTAGTTTGCGCTTAATTGAAAATTAATTAGGTGAACACAAAGTGCCGGCAGCATGGTTCGACGCCAAAGTGGTCTTATTAGAAATATAATAGGTTTTTTTCTAGAAGCATTTAACACGCCCATAACTTAAAGTTTTTTTTTGGCCATCTATCCCAGATTGTTTTCATACATGTTCATACAGACGGTTATGTCTAAAGCGACTCGTCTCTCTGCTTAAGAATATATGTATATAAATATTATATACAAATTATATATATACATATGTATATATTGTCAGCTTATGAGTGACATACAAGATAACTGTATTTTAAAAAAGGGTAAAAGTTGCTTAAATGGACATTACAATAGGCCTAAGGCTTCAATACACGAAATTAATAAAAAGTTTTATTCGCATCATTACAATCGTTTAAGTATTCTATTCCTAAAAAATACCTCATAAAGAATGGCTTCAATTGAAGCTTGCGAGGTAGAAATTGGAAAGCTTAGCAGGCTCTATTATTCGCTTAGCATTTGTGCTACAACAAGCTTTGCTATAAAACATTGGAATTTATTAACATAAACATATCTAAGCATATTTGTTATTTAATTTAATCTGAAAAAGTATTGCTCCCTTTAGCAGCTTCCTAAATTGTAATGAATCTCTATTTAAATAGAGACAAGAGCCAGTGACTGCAAATAACAACATTTCTGATATAATTTTCGAGTCGAAAGCATTCACAATATTCCTGATATTAATTTTGTGTCGTTGGCAACATTCTAAAATATAGCTTAGTTCGTTAAGTTGAACTCAAGACAGTTTTCAATTCGTTTTAAAAGAAAAGCCCTACAAAAGTTAATTCATGATGTTGATTCTTCTGTCCGTCTGTATGAACGCAAAGATATCGGCTCGTATAAGACCTACAATAACAAAACTTGATTCCAAAAAAAAGAGCAAGTTAGTATTGCAAAGGAAATTTAGTCTCAAGTCCAGATATTGTCAGCCTTTTGGATCGCTTGAGATCCAAGTTACCTCTACGATTGACCGATTATTTTAAACAGTCGTTGTTGATGGTAAAAAAAAAAATTGTAACTACATCATCTTTTCAAACCTCCACCCGCTCTACCTTTGTACATAGTTTTGATTGCACTTAACTTTTTTTTGAACAGTTTCTATGGCATTGGCAGATTCTCAAAGTGTTTTTTTCAGTAAAGCAAATACTATAGTATAAAGCAGTAGCCCATTGTCTCATTAATGTATAGTTTGTGCGAGTTTTGCATAAGATAGCAAAAAAAAAAGGGGAAAACTAGAGCACAAAAAGCACGTTTGTTGTTATTGCCGACGTAGTTTGTTTCTAACAAAGTCAGGATGATGATGGAATCGGTCCTTTCCCTTTCTAGCCATCAGCCCATTTGTCGGGCTGGCTCGCAACCACTTCAAACAAGTTGCTGCTTTCATAATTAAATTGCAAAATTTATGCACAATTAAATGAAAAACTTTCCTTTGAGGTGAACAACAAAATGAAAATGAATATAAATTTAAATCACAAACGGCCAGCTCTTAATTTTTTGGCTGTAGTGGTCAGTGGTTAGTGGTTTCTGGTTTTTGGTTTTTGGTTTCTCCCCATCAAAAACAAAAAAAATCGCAGCCCAACAAAATTGTTAGCACTTTTGTATAATTGAAGGCGAAACCTTTGAGGCAACACACTTTCGTGTGCTTTGTTGCACTTCGTTGTTTGGTTTGTTTTGCACGCCGCCTAATTCTTTTTGCCTTCCCTTTTTTGTAATTTCCGTTTATTTTTATACTCTGTACATGAAATGTACAAGAGTATATTAGGTTTGCGGGAGCTGAAAAATGTAACAGGCAGAAGGAGGCGTGGCAGACCCCACAAAGTATATATATTCTTGATCAGCATGACGAGACGAGTCGATCTAGCCCTGTCTGTCTGTCTGTCCGTCTGTCCGTCTGTCCGTCTGTCCGTCTGTCCGTCTGTCCGTCCGTATGAACACCTGGATCTCAGAGACTATAAGAGATAGAGACACCAAATTTTGCACGAAGATGCGTTATGTGTGTATTCTATACGAGTTTGTTTTATTTTTTTGATTTTCCCCCCCACTTCCCCCCTATGGGGGTTTTCCCGATTTTCCATTCGTATAATCGCCTATATCTCGGAGACTATAAGACCTAGGAACACCAAATTTTAGTCCCAGATGCCTTATGTGAATACGCAGAAAATGTATATTTTGGAATTCCCCTCCCTCCCCCCTCTACCCCGCAAATCGTAACTCCCGTAATTCTTGGAATTTCGAACTAAAATTTTGGAAATACCCCCAGTTAGTTATTATGTGTCCGTATGCCAAATTTCATTATGATAGACCGATTTAACAAGAAGTTATAGCCATAAATATATTTGCTGATGCAGCGCTGCTGCAGCGCTGCTCAAGCGCTGCCCGCGGCTGTTGTTGATGTTGCTGTTTGGTTGACTGCGAAAATGCTTACACAGACACGAATAGATACGCATAGGCATACATACACTCACACAGACGCAATTGCTATGTAAATGTGCAATTATACACCCTTTACGTGAGTTCGAATACCGAGAGAGGTAAAATCGATCAAATTTTATTTTTTTTTTTTCTTAATTTTTTTTATTTTCTATAATTATTGTAAACATATGTACAGAGTATTTCAAAGTCGGGACACCCGACTTTAGCTTTTTTACTTGTTTGTTAATTGTTTTTTTTTTTTTTCAGTTGGGCCGTGTCGACGGTCATGACGCGTCAAAATTTGGTGCCGCGCGAATATTTTCCCCCCGAGGCGAACGCCGACGATTTGAAGGACTCGCCAATCTCTGCGCTCATACCGTTCTGGGATATGGCCAATCACAAGCCCGGCAAGATTACCTCCTTCTATGGCAGTGCGGCTCAGCAAATGGAATGTGCCGCCCAGGAGGCGTACAAGGCGGGCGAGCAGTTCTTCATCTACTACGGGGATCGCTGCAACGCCGATATGCTTGTGCATAATGGGTAGGTCCAAGAAATTTGAACTCGCATCGTCCTTAAATTAAAGTTACCTTTTTAAATCTGATAGTCATTCGAAAATTATAAATTACATATTATATTCGATAAAACGTACAGCCAGTCGAAAAATATGTACAGAAGCTGAAAAGCTTTCCTTTTTTGGTTAGTTTTTCAATTTTTTTTTTTACAAGAAGTGCTGCACTTTCTGTGAAAAAAGTTGTGCATTTCAGTACACTCTTTAAAATAACATTGAACGGAATTCATAGAAATGCAGTAGGTTTTTAAAACTCGATTTATTCTTTTGCTCTTCATTTCGAAAGCATTTTAGGGCAGTTTTGAATTTGAATCTGAAATTGTTGCCTGAGGCATAATACTTAGAAATACAAGTAGTTATACTATTATTTTGCTCGTGGACCATAGATTGTTTCGTATAATTTATCGTATCATTTTTTCCGATACGCAGATTCTTGGATCCCGACAATCGCAAAGATTATGTCAACATCAAGCTGGGCCTGAGCCCAACGGATCCGCTGGCTGAGCAGCGAGCCAGTCTGCTGGCTCGCCTCAATATTGAGCGGAAAGCGGAGCTGCGCGTCCTGCCGGCACCCGATTACATATCCGGAGAGCTGTTGGCCTTTGTGCGGGTATTTAATATGAGTGCCGCCCAATTGGAACACTGGCACAGCGATCCGGAGCGAACTGTAGATTTGCTGCACATTGATTGCGCCCTCGAGACGGATCACGAGACACGCACCTGGCAGTATCTGTATCAGCGGCTCAAACTATTGCTGGGCGTGTTTGAGGCCACACAGGGCGCACTCGAGGCAAGTCTGCCCGATGGTGGTGCGGCGGAAAAGCTGCAGGCACTGCAAGTGGAATGCAACGAGCAGGTGGAGGGTGGAGGCCTGCCCCAGAGGACTGAGCTTGAGATTGATTTGATGCTGTTGCAGTATCGCCGACTGGAAAAGCAGATACTGGCCGAAGCCCTGCAGTACGCCCAGGAACGTTGCAAGGTATAGGCTGCTCCGGGCTGGATGGTGTGGCTTGGAGTGGAGTGTGTGGAAATTAAATTGGTCAGCAGATGGTCAGCATTAAATTGTCATGATAATTATATAACACATCAGCCCCAGTCCCAGCAACAACAACAACAAACCAACCAATTCTTAAGTGGCCATTTATGCGGAGTTATTCCGCATTAGGAAGTCTCGAGCTCTGCCTCTTAGTCACATAGAAAGTAAGCGTGAAAAGTGTTTTATAATATAACAAAATACAATTTATTATTATTAATATACAACTATTTTTTTTTGTAGTATTTTGAACGTGCGTGCTAATATTTAATCGTAATTTATTTTGGCTCATTCATTTTTGAATTAAATCGGGCGTAGGAACTGTTCATACATTTCAACATGTATTTAAATGACACACAAACGAGCATAAATATACATAAATAAATATATTAAATCATTATGAAAATATGCAATTAATACTCGTCTCTTTGAATTTGGCAATTGCAGTTGAAATGCAGAAATCGAAAAGCATAATTAATACAGACATACAGAATGTACAAAAATTGTACGCTTTTTAATTTAGAACTCATTATTTATATTTGTTTAATGTTTGTTTTAAATCTAATAAATGAAAAGTTATATGCGAGAAATATTCCTCTTTTTCGTAATTTGTTTTTTCTCTTCAATGTGGTGGTAGAACTGAAAACTCAAAACAGACGGAATTCTTCCTATGATTTAAGAATTTAATATGCTAAATAAATTTAAACGGTTGACTTTAATGGAAAAGTTATTTCATGTTTAAGTATTTGGCATTAGTTAAATGTTTTAATAGTTTTTTTTATTTAACAATATCGTATTTTATTTTTCGTACCCTGTGCATAATCGACCCCGTAAAGAAATTACATATATTGTTAATCAGTTTGACGACAGAAATCCATCTAGACTTGTCCGTTAGTCTGTCGGAGTTAAATATGCTATTGCTGAGATTTAATCAGATGTTGGTGCTTTGAAATTTGATGGTATAAACTATATATAATTAATATGATTTAATAAGCAATTGGTGCTTAAAGTGGCTTCGGTTAAGTGCTTTCTATGAGAAGCACGGAGGAGGGCTGTGTTTTCTGATTTGATCGTGAAAGTGTGTTTAATTAAGGTGGCTTCGGTTAAGTGCTTTCTATGAGAAGCGTGGAGGACGGCTGTGTTCTTATTTTATTTGTACAAATTATTCAATATAATATATATAATTAATATGATTTAATAAACAATTGGTGCTTAAAGTGGCTTCGGTGAAGTGTTTTCTGTGAGAAGCACGGAGGACGGCTGTGTTTTTATTTTATTTGTACAAATTATTCAATATATACATATTTATTATATATTTATTATGATTTATTTAGCAAAAAGAGCGGTAATCGTGTAGTTGTTGGATTACTTCGCATTCGATAATGAAAATATTGTTTCTCCCATTTTAAAGTCGTCTAGTCCCGCCCCTTACCTGCCATTGAACACTGCACTTTGTAGAACAATTTTCACTAAAGTTCTGGCCTCTGGCTTAGATTTAACAGAGCGATATAAAACTGTATATTGAATAAAATTTTAATTTGGCCAGCCGAGATGCATTTGAACTTTATCGGTTTTTTACATTTTTTGTGTTGTCTATGACATTTCAGTTGCCAGGCTAGCACATTTTCGGCCATGAGTAGAGCGTATGCCTGATGGCGGCAAAAGTTTCCTACGCACCGATTTTAATGTCCTTTTTTGGATTTTGGGCCATTTGCTAATTGCTCTCCGTCTGCAGCAGCGGCCAACTGACCAGTGATAAGGGGGAGGAGGGGTGGGGAAGAGAGGGCAGCTATGTGGCAGGGATGCTGGCAGGCCCGTAATCCATATTGACTAACTAATTAGGCGCACTGCCAGTTTGAAAGTGGTTGGGACTCGAAACGCCACACATACACACACAAACACACACACAACAAGTTGGTCGTAGGTCTACGAATGTAACCGAAAATTTGCGTACATTTCAATCAACTACCTAAACACTTTTAAATTCAATCACAAAAATTTGCGCACGCGCTACAAAATTGATGGAATTGGCTGGGATGGTGTTGATGCTCTATTTGTTGTTGCTGTTGATTCTGTTGCTGTTGTTGTTGTTGATGTTGCAGGGTCGGTTGCCGGTTGCCGGTTGCTGTTGTATGCAGTTTTCTGGTTCCTGCTCTTGACGATGCTGAGCAGTGGGCGGTGCATTCATGAATGTGTGTTTGAAGTGAATGCTGAAAATAGCTATTCAAGTGTCAAATCAAATGTTAGTGTGGCTGTTTGGTTGTGTATGTATGCACCACTAATGTATGTACACCCCCCACCACCACCACTCCTAGTCACAAGGCCAAGGAAGATGAGCCTGACTACAAAATAGAATAAGGGAATTGCATTTTATATCCAAAGCTTTCATTTTCTAAAACATATATTTTTGTATAGTATACGTATGTTTAAAGCCTTCAATATTTCAATTTCTTTTCAATATTGTTGCTGATATTGGCATTGTCATTGCCATGATCTACTTGTAGAATATATGCACATATTTTTATTAAATCGTGCTACCTTAACAAAATTGTTGTTTTGACTCAGTTTGGGAAGCAATTTGTTTTTTTTTTTTGCTATTCTCTTAAATCACTAAAAACACTCTATGTTTACTTAATAGGTAGAATAATTTTTTATTCATAACTTAGTTTTCTTAAACAAAAAAAAAAAAGAAGCGTAACACGCAAAATTTCTTCGATTTTTGGTTAGATATTGAAGAGAATGTTAGAATTTTATAAACAGTTAGCAGTTGGGCTGTTGAGCTTTTTAAAAACGAGCTGTTCTTCCAATTAAAATTTATTCAATTGAAGCTTAAGTGATTATTATCATGTAACATTTTAATGAAATTTCAGTTATTTATAACGAATTTCATATACTCGTAAGTTTAGGAAACATCGAAAACAAATACATAAGTTGAATCTGAATATACGACATTTTTATACACTTTTGATGTTTGTGTTTTCACTCAAAGTATATATCTATTTTGTAAGTTTTATACACTTACATATTTTTATGTTCTCATTATTTATTTATATTTGTTACATACATTTTTTATTTCTATATTTTTCATCATATTTTCATAGGTCTAATTTTTCGTTGAAAAAGTGTTGCCTACATCTGAGCGCAATGGATGCGCAAATAAGTTGATAGTTGAGGAAGCATCTTAACAAAAACATCATTGAGTAATAAAATAAATTGACTTTATTCAAATGTCTTTTCATTAATGAACTTTTTTGTTTTTTAAATTCTCTGGTTAATAAATTACTGCAATACGAATTTATTCATAATCTTAATAATCTAACCAATTTCGATTTATTGAATCGAGTTCGGAATCAGGAACAGCAATAAGCGCTCCTAGGATTGTAAAAACTGGCAACAGAAATAAAAAAACCTAAAAAGTAGCGAACAAAATGTAAAGCTTTGATTTTCTTATGAGCTTTAAATCTGTGTCAGTGTGTGCGTGCTTTTTAACTTTTTAAAAATGTCGCGAGCGTATCACGAACACTTTATTGCTCTGCCTTCGTGCACTTGCTTGCCTTCCAGTGGCGTCAACTATCGGCAGTGCCTAACAAGGTTATCCTCAGACGGGGCAAGACGGGGCGGGGCGGGGCGGGTCAGGGCTGGGCAGGACAAGGCATGGTAACGTTAACTAACTTTGCATGCTCGTGACTGTATCTGGCATTGCCACAGCCACCCCCTCCGTTGCTTGTTCGCACTGCAATTGTTGTTGTTGTTTGCAATTAAACGGGCCATTGTTGTTGCTGCTGCTGCTGCTGTTGTTGTTGTTGTCAACATTGTTGTGCGTTGAGTAGTCAGTCGTCGCTTTCCTTGCACAGTTTCTTGGCAATGCACACGCATTGGAGCAGCAGCGCCACCTGGCGACGACAGCTACTTATTTTATTTGCTAATTGTAGTACTTGAAGGCGCCAAGAGTCGCGCGACGCGAGTGTGACCCGCAGCCAAGAACGCGGCTCAGGCCGTGGCGGAAAGAAGCCTTTCACTTGCAACACCAACTAGAGATGGGAGAAACAGTCACTTGAACACAAGCACGCTAGCCAAGTATTGTTCGTGACACGAAAAAAATGGTTATACATATATGTATATTTATTTTATATACAAGTATACATGTATGTACGTATATATTTGTTATAATTCTTTTGACGGTTTTTTCACGAAACAGACTCTTAAAGACAAGCTCGCAATGCTAAACATTTTTCGTGACAGGCAAAAAAAAAAATGGTTATATATCTATATTTATTTTATTAGAGTATATGTAGTACTTGGGCGTATTTCTTTAAATTCTTTTGATGGTTTCTTCACGAAACAGACTCTTAAAGATAAGCAATGCTAAACATTGTTCGTGGCACGAAAAAGAGAATGGTTATATATCTGTGTTTATTTTATTCAAGAATATACATATGTGTGTACGTGTAGTACATTTTTTAAAAATTCTTTTGATGGTTTCTTCACTAATCATGCTCTTAAACATTGTTCGTGGCACGAAAAAAAAATGCTCATATATCTATATTTATTTCATATGAGTATATATGTATATAGTACTTGGGTTAGTTACGAATTATTTGTGGGATAGCAGAAGTTGCTTTTTAAACATTGCTAGAATCTTATATATGGGACCTCCCACACGAAAGTAAGAACTTTATCTATGATGATACAATAGTTCATAGCCTTCGACTATAACCCTAAGACTGGCTGTCATTCCACTAAAATTAATTGATTTGCAATGCATGGAATGTTTTCTTAACTGAACGCATTTCATTGTCCGTAAAATTGTGTGGGAACGCGGAAAAGTCACGACCCATGCGCACCTCTAACGCCAAGGATGGGAATGAGTGGCGAGCCTGCAGCATTTGGCCGGCCGTGCGACAAGTGCTCGACAAGTTTGTTTCACTGGCAGTAGAGCTAAGGAAAAAGAAGCAGCAGAAGTAGGTCTAGCAGCAGCAGTAACAGCAGTAGTGGCAGTAGCAGTGTCGAGCAACAGCGGCGCAGAGCGGATAGGGACGCATCAGCTCGGCAACATGGCAAACAAATTAAAAACGACGCATCTCTCCACTTGGTTTTGCTTCTTCTTCTTCTTCTTCTCGTTTTTTGTTGCTCCCTCTCTCGCCCTGTTTTTCTTATGCTAGTTTGCTTTCTTTGCGTTTTTACGCTTCCGCTTACTACTTACTTGGCTTGCAGGCAGAAAAAGCACGAGTAGCAGCAGCAACAACAACAAGAGGAACATCAACACACACACACACACGCACACGCACGCACACATACATACACATTCACAAGACAGTGTTGAATGGAGTTTGATGTGTGTGTCTGTGTGTGTGTGTGTGTGTGTCTTTGTGTGGCCACAGGCACAGAAGGAATTAATTCTAAAGTCGTGCCAGCGTTTGTTTTTTCATCGACTTGGGCTGCGAAATTGCGCAAAAATACTCTTACATGGCCTTTATCCGTACTTTCGTTCTCATCCATATTCCCATCCTGATTGTCACATCCACACGTATGGCACATACTTGTAACCATGTGTGAGTGTTTTTACTAAACATTGTAAATTGAATATTGATT